TATACAATTGAATACCATATCTTTTCTTTTAGGGTAAAATACAAAAATCTCTCTTGAAGTTTCTATCAATCATAAAACCCCCTTTATAGTTTCATTTTAACAAATGCCTCCCCTGAACTTTTAAGAAGATCAAATAAAACCTCCTTTTCGTCACTGTCCCAAATAGAAAACGTTTGATTAATGCATCAGTTTTTTCTAAATACCCATTCTACCCTTTTATAAATTATTTACATACAAAATTACTGAAATAACTCCATTTTAAATCAATAAAAACCTTCTTTAACGATCATCTCTTACATACAAAATTACTGAAGTATGTATTTTTGTTGAGTTAAAATGGGATTATTTCCGTAATTTTGTATGTAAAATAATTTATAAAAGGGTAGAGTGGATATTTGAAAAAAAAACTGGTGCATCAGTCTAACGTTTTCCATCTAGAATGGTGACAGAAGGGAGGCTTTTGTCGAATTTCTGAAAATTTCAGAGGAGGTATTTGTTCAAATAAAACTATAGGGAAGGTTTTTGTATTTTACCCTTTATTTTATTTACTTAATTTGAAGTTAAGTATCTCTAACTTGCAATAATTGATTAATTGATAGCTTAAACATTTGAAAGAGAAAGCTCTCTCTCTCTTAGTATCGTTGATCTACGAAATCAAATTAATGTATGTATCTCTATATATCCACCCCTTTTTTTCACATACTATCTTAATAAATTCATCATTTGCTAATGCATGTGCAATAGTTGTATTTTTTATCTCTGAAGTCTGCACCGAGTATACATATTTTCTTTTCTTCTTTTTTTCTGCTTACAGGTTGAACCGAACTTACACCGGCTAAACGGCTTTACTGAACTTTCATTGGAGCATTTTTTTGAAGCATGTTGGAGCTTTTAGGCTAAGAAAAATAAATGAATGGTGAGATTTGAATGTATTTTAATTAAAGAAAAATATTTTCTTTCCTTTGCTCAATACAGCTTAAGCAGCCCCTAATGCAATGTTTGGTATTGTGGCTGTTCTTACTTAAAATGTTGTTACATCAAAGACATCCAAGGCGTTTTGAGTAATATGAATTTTCTGTTTGGTTGAGTTAAAACAGTCATAAAGTGTTTTTTTTTTAATTTTTAAGAAGCATAAACCATGAAGTGTTGAAGGATTATCAAATTAATGTTCCTCTATTGGTTGCCCATTTGAAAAAAACAGTCAAGATTACAATGTAAATTTGGCATACTCGTATATAGGCATATCATATTTGTATTGGCATATCTTAGACATATATGGATAGAAACGATAAACCAGTGTTTTTGTAAGATTTTACTTTTTAGAGATATGGGCCCCAACCCTCTAATCGTTTATAAAAAAAGTAAAATAAATGAAAAAAATGTGATTATCAATAATAATGTTTATAGATACCCAGTTTTGGATATTGGGTATTGATGTCAATTGGGCCAATGGCGAGCCTACACAGGTCAAGTGGCGAAGAACATAGCAGAATCAATTGGGTTGCGGACAGAGCTGGTGTCAACACATCGTGCTGGACCAATCAGGGCGCACCCTAGGTTGGGCTTGGCAAATCTTGTGGAGCCAATCGTGCGTCCTCACTTGGCGCTCCCAGACGATTGCGCCTTTGGTACAGACTACATCTAGGCCGTTCGAGGTCACCTGCCTTCTAGCGGCCTCAAGTACAAATAAGAGATGACCCCCACAAGGTAAAATATCTCAGAACTTAACTCTGAAGCACTCTTCTTGCTCTCTGAGATCTCTTGCTCTTTATTGGCCTCGACTTCGGGCACCTCGTACCTCGGCTTAGGAGAGAACTAACAATGTTGACCTCGACCAATAGGCCTCTTCGCGGGAGGTGCTGGTGGCACCTCGGCTGTCCTTTGATGGCCAATCTTCCTTGGCTGATCCTCCTCAGCCTTCTTCCCTCTGTCGCCCCCACCAATGGGGGCTGTGGACATGGGGTCCCCTTGGCAAGCATGGACCCCCTCTCCACCCTTGCAGGTGGCACCATAGCCACTTTCCTTGGATTCTACCCCCTCGAGGTGCCCTCTACTTGGCCCTTCTTCCTGGCCAAGGCGCCCTCCAATAGTAGTCTCTTGGCGTTCACAGGCATCTCTACAAGGAAAATAATACCAAACAACACGAAGAAAATGAGGACAATGGAGATGAAGGCGAGCAACTGAAATCGAGGGCTTTGGCGAAGTAGGAAACTCTTGGAAGCGAAGGCACTAGTGAACAAGTGACGGTCGAAGCCGAGGCCCCTATTTAAAGAAAATGGATGGCCCAGATCGCGTGGGATCTAACGGTTGACAAACGACCGCCTTTGCTACCCATCTGCTGACCGACACCCGTGGCCTACCTTGGGTAGACGAAACAACGCTTGGTGAACTAAAGCACCTCCTCACCGCAACTCGCTGGTCAACCCAACCGTGATGACTCAGCAAAAGTGCGGTCTAGTTCACCCGCGCCCCATCCTCCCTACGACGACGGCTCAGCAACCCGTTGAGGGCTTGGCCCCCAACTCGCCAATTTAGGGACTCGCAACTAGCGTGACCCGTATCCGGCTCTGGGAACCGCTTCCTTCACGACCCACGACACCGCATAAAGAGACTCCCTCACAAAGCGACCAAGTCACCAGCTCGGGTACCCTTGCACTTCCTCCTCGGCACCCTCAGCCGAAGCCGAGGCCTTGCGAGACGCACCCAGCATTCACAAGACTAGGGGGTAACCTCCCTTTCGCCCACCTCGCGCCACAGAAAACTTGGAGCCGAAGCCAAGGCCCCCCTCTGCATGTGTAACCAAGCCGAGGCCCTGCACGAGCCTCGACCATCCTCGCAATTCAAAGGAAAAGCATACCGATGCCAGTGCAGGCCACGATGCGCACAGGTCTATTGACGCCTCCTGGTACGAGACAATGCACTCCCTTCGCCTGAAGCCAAGGCCCCTCCTATCTCGGATCCCCACCCCGACCTTGGGAGTGGGGGGCAAATGATGTAGGTGCATCCGGTTGGGCCAATGGCGAACCTACACACGTCAGGCGGCGAAGCACATAGCGGGACCAATCAGGTTGCGGGCAGAGCTGGTGTCAGCACCTCGCGCTGGACCAATCAGGGCACACACTAGGCTGGGGTTGGCAGGCCTCGCGGAGCTAATCACGCGCCCTCACCTGGTGCTCCCAGTCAATCGCTCCCTCGGTACAGGCTACATCTGTCCAAGGTCACCCGCCCCCTGGCGGCCTCAAGTACAAATAAGAGGTGACCCCCACAAAGTAAACGATCCCAAAACTTAGCTCTCAAACACTCTTCTTGCTCTCTGAGATCTCTTGCTCTTTAATAGTCTTGTCTTTGGTGCCTGCACCCAAGATCTTGTCCACCTTCCACCTCTTGTTCTTAACTTGACCATCGGATCCTCCGCCTTGCAAAATCTATCTATCTGCCCTCGACCATCTCAGACACCTCGACTTCGGGCACCTTGTACCTCGGCTTAGGAGTAAACTGACAGTATTGAACTTGACCAATCCGAACATCAACATGTATATTGATATTTTAATCCTTAAAAACATTACAATGGCGTGGCTATTAGTTTTCATCTTACGTCGTATTCTAGAAATTAGTGCTGTGAATGGGTCAATTTTGTCCAATCAATTAAATCGAATAAAACCAATAATTTTTGTTTGTTCCAAATAGACTATATAATTGGTTTTATCTTGATTAATAATTGGTTTAATTTTGATTATTGATTGTTTCAAATAGATTATATATATAAAAGGTTTTTCTTAGTTTTCATATAATTTTTATTATACTTTATGGGTAAGTTGGATATATAATATTAGTTAAAACAATTAATTTATTAATATATAAATAATTGTTATTGTACTATTATTTTATTAAAGTTATATTATCAAAATTCAAGTTTAGGTTATTATTGTTTTAAATTATTATTTAAATAAATAAATATAAATATTAGTATAATCATGTCTATTGGGTCCATGATTTTGATCATAACTAATAATCAGTTCAGGACTAAAACATATCTTATCGGGATCCATTGACATACCTATTAAGAAATATATTTTGGTACATCACATACCCGTGAAACCCACACACAAATCTTGCCTCCAAAATAAAAAAAATTAATATTTTAGTATATGCTCCTAAAACCATTAGATCTGCATCTTGCCATTAATCTTTCCAATCACTACAAAATATTTATTTTTGAATTTGATCAATACAATATACAATAGGGTGATGCCATAATGAACAAATTTCATGTCAAAACTCAAAAGTCAAAACGTTGTTTTGATACGAAATATTCGAGCCTGAGGACCGAAAAAGAGGTATGACAATTAGCCGATCTTTTTACGATCCAACGACGAGGAAGAGGAATTAAATACGGACGAGGGAACCAAATATGAGGCTTTGGACGGCAGGGAGAGTAGGACAGAGAGAGAGAGAGAAAGGGAGGGATAGAACAGAACATGGGAATTGCATGTCTTAATTGCACAAAACCCTGCAGGCTGCAGCTGCACATATATGGATCATGCAAATCTTCTCTTTCCCGCTTCCCCCATCACTTCACTATTCACTCGCTCTTTCCTTTTTTTTTTTCGATTAAAATATTAAAGATATGTGTAAATAATTAAATGATGGGCCTTTGGGCTCTGGACCTCTGGTAGCCTCCTCCACAGTCCACAGTCCACTCCTATTTAAAAAGATGACCCATCTTAATTAGGTCTATCGTCAAGCCTAAGCCTCTTTCTGTACAGTGACTACAGTCTCAAGCATACCCAGTTTATCAGTATATTAATTTCTCTCTCTATATATATTTTACAGGTAACAAGGTTAGTTGCTTGTGCTAGTGTAGCGTAGTAGTATATTATAGGGATAGGAACTGTCGAGCTGAGCACTCTTTGGACAACAGCAGAAATAAGCAGCATCAACAACGTTGGCTTTGGTCCTCTGCGTCTGCGTGTCTACACTACGAGGTTGGTTGCGTGTTGGAACTTCTTCTTCTGTTTCTGCTTCTGCTTCTGCCTGCCTCTCTGATTGTTTGAGTGAAGGAATCTGTCTGCGTTTCTCTGTTTTTTCCTCTACTTCTCCGCCCTTCCTATAATCCTCCTAGTCTAACATAAAAGGAAGATATATAGAATAGAAGAGCAGCATCACCCACCCACTTCGTGTACTAATAACATACGAAGCTGAGAGTCCCATCGGATCGGCGAAAGAGGGAGCAGAGACTTCTATCGTCACTGTCGTTCTCTCAAGTTCTCATCTCTCTCCCATTTTTCTTTCTCCGTGGTTTATGACTAGTTCTTATCATCTGATTTAGGTCTTCTGCTGTTACATGTGCTGCTTCGGTCTCTCTGGGCCTTTGTTTGAGCAGTTCATGGCTTTAGGATGTTTTTTATCCTTTGGAGCTTTTATTAAGGCATGCTAACTAGGTACCTTTCTCTCTATCTAAACTTGATTTTTTTGTCTTTTTCTGTTGAAGGTGGTTTCTTCTTTCTCATTATTACTTATTCCACGGTGAGAAGCTGAAGTACTGGGTGCTTTTTCCATCTGTGTTTTTTTCGTTTATCTTCATTAGTTTCCTGGTTTAAATAAAAAAAAAAGAAAAGAAAATGGAGGGATATCCAAGGAATGGAGAGGTATGTCCGCAGTTGCTTGATTTAATTCCGGATGAAAGAGAGTGGGTAGCGAGAAGAGACGAGGGAAACTATGGAGTTTCAGATGATAAAAAGCTAGAACTCAGGCTTGGACTCCCTGGAGTAGATTGGTTTACCAAAGAAAGCAACAGGAGCAACGGTAACGAGAGGGAGGAATCGCTTCTCTCTCTTGGTTGTTTTTCTTCTATAATTTCTATGACCCCCAACGACAGTAATAACAGTAGCAGCGGCAGCAACACCAGCAACAACAACGTTTCTCATGTCGCAAAGAGAGGATTTTTAGATACGGTTGAAGAAAAAGCAGAAGAAACATGGGGGGGAAACAAGGGGAACCCAAGCGAGAAGCTTTCATTTTCTGAAAAATCAGCTGGCGGTCTTTTTTCTTCTCCATGGTCTTCTGGTTCTTCCCCCACTCCATCTAATCTGGCTTTCCAGATGAATACTCAACAACAACAACAACAGCAGCAGCTAAAGCCTTCGTTTCTTCAGTTGCCGATCCCGCAAGGCTTGCCCGTTATGACAAAGGAATCTCCGCAGGCTTGTAGCACAAAAGTGGCGGAGTTGCAGAACCCAGAGATGAAGGCATGTTCGCCAGCTTCTGCAAATACAGCTGTTCCCAACAGCTCTCAGAAAAGGTACCCCAGCTTTTATTACTTTTCCTCCTGATATTTTCTTTCTTTTATTCGGTCGTCTTCATTTATTGTTTGATATTCTGGGTCAGGTATTCGGTGATGTAAAAACAAGCGCTTTTCTTTTTAAGCAAATTTTTAGGTTCTTTTGTATTTTCTAGGTTTTTGCAAGAAAGCAGCGAGTTCTGAGTAATGGCGCTTTATGTAAAAGGGACAACTTTTCACTGTTAAGAACTTTTTTTTTTGCTTTATTTTCATTTTCATCATTGAACGCTGGAAAATTGTTTTAGCAATTCACGTTTGATTCTTGTTTTTCTGGATCTACTGCTGGTCCTGCTGAAGGTTTTTCTTTCTATCTAAGCTGGGAATGCTTTTTTTGGGGGGTTGCCAATCTAAACTGATAATGTAGACCTTTAAAACTTATCTCTTCAATTTATTTTTGTTACTCTCGCTTTGAAAGTTGAGTCTGTCTTGGTGTTTACATTGTTTACGAACTAAATTTATTGGGAGTAGCTGCTTTTTTTTTCCTGGAAATATTTTCGCTGCTTGTTTTCCATATGGTGATTCTAGTTTTTGGTTTTGTTTTCCTTTCCGGACTGGTATCTTGGTGTGAGTCATTGTTATACTTGTTCATCTATGGAAAATGTGAGTTATTCATTTGACTACTGTTTTTCTTGTCCCTTTCTGGTGACTTGTTGGCCTAAAAACGTAAAGCAGAATCGCTCCATCTCCCGTTGTGGGGTGGCCTCCTGTTCGATCATTCCGGAAAAACCTTGCAAACAGTAGCTCTTCAAAGCCACCACCTCCTGAAACGCACAAGGTTTTACCAGCTGAGGTGACCACCGGAAAGCCTAGAGATAGCAAGAATTTGTTTGTGAAGATCAACATGGATGGAGTTCCTATCGGCAGAAAAGTGGATCTTAAAGCCTATGATAGCTATGAAAAGCTCTCCTCTGCGGTAGATGAACTCTTTAGAGGCCTTCTTGCAGGTTGTCTACGTCGTTAAGTACTTAAGGTTTAAATCTCCTTTTTTTTTTCTACAGGTTATAGAAACTCAATATTAGATAAGGTTAAAGATGTTTTAATTCCTTGTATTACGGACGGAGCCAGATTCTTCCGGTGGGCTACTGTACAAATCTTGGAAAAAAGAAAATGTTGGGGAGCCCACCTCCTTCATCACCCTTTAGCTCCGTCCTTGCTTGCATGTATTATAACTCGTAATAATCCATGTTTATTTGGCCTTGCTGAACTGTTGCTTTAGATGATTTTTTTTTTCTCTTTTTGGTGTGTGAAGAAAGTAAATAGTAGATCGAGATGGCAGTTTGTTGATTCATTTTGCTTTCTTGTTTAGCTCAAAGAGATTCTTCAGTTGTTGGAAATAAAAACAAGACGGAAGAGGAGAAGGCAATTACAGGATTATTAGACGGTAGTGGGGAATATACTCTTGTTTACGAGGATAACGAAGGAGACAGGATGCTGGTTGGAGATGTCCCATGGCAGTAAGCATCTTCCCACTGTAAATCTGGTGTTTATTTTTAAACAAATGCTGATGGAGATTCTTCATATTTTCATGCATACTTATATTTTTTTGTTCGATGAAATCTTCACTCCTCTTTTTAGTTCCATTAATCACTTGCTTACACAAAACCCGAGACAGAAAGGTGTACCTTTTAACTAAAATACATGTGATTCCTGCTCGACAAACCCTTGGTGCCTGATTCTTTTCTCATATATATTTGAATCTATCTATCAAAAGTTGTTATTATATCTGAAAACCCAAAAGCATCAACCACTTTTTCTGTAACTTGTTGAATTAATTCCCACATAAACCATGGTTCATTCATATTCAACATCTGTTTGTACAGTATGTTCGTATCAACGGTGAAGAGGCTGCGTGTGTTGAAGAGCTCTGAACTTCCCGCATTACACAGTAAGCATACTAGTTAACCCACTTGAGAAAAAGGTCATATTCGTATGGTTTGTTCAGTACCTTTAGGTAAGTATAGCGAGGTTGTGATATGATGATTCCTTTGATCAGTTGGCAGCACTGTGCGAGGAAAGACTCCATTAATTGGCAGCACTGGAGTAAGGTGAACAAAGAGTTGTTCTATGGAGACTCCATTAATTTGGTTTCAAAATGTGCCTTTCCTTTTTTTTTTCTTTTTTGCAGTATTAATTAGTGCTTGTATTCTGTGGGGGATGGACTCTCTCTCTCTAGCTCGCTCGCTCACATTTTTTGTTTTCTCGCAATTTGCTACTGCACTGCTAGCTGTTTGTCGTTTGTACAAAAGAAAAGGCAGCTCGATGGGTTATATATATAAGCAAGCACTGATGAGTTTACAAATGGTGTCCAAAACCCTCAATTAATCAATTAAGCAACGCCGAAGAAAACGTCCCTATGTCCCTATGCATCGACTGACTGTACCCCTACCTGAAATCCTAAACCACTTGAATCCGAAGTGGGAAAAGAGCTTTAGTTATGCTGCTAAAGTCGTGATGGTAACCAAACATGCCTTAATATATCGCACCCTGTGGCCTGTACTGTCAGTCAAACGTCAGTATCATGACGCTGTTAACCCATTGAATTCCCTCTATTATTTTTTCCTTGGGTGGATACCGTGGGATGAAGTGACGAACGCAAAACTAAAAGAGTCCTCTGCAACTGATGAAAGGAATCGTTATATATATATATATATACCAAACTTTCAAAGTGTAGGGTCCTAATTAATTGCGAGCTGGGTTGTCTTTATATCCGAATGAATGACCGATTAATCCAGTCGCTTACGCTAACGCTACGTCCCCAAGAGATGCAATGCATTTTGCTGTCACCGGATTGTGGGGAAGAATGTAAAATTGATGCAAGAACCAAGTGACCAATGGGTATTGTGAGATAAATGGATGAAGGATATATATGAATCGTCCAAAGTTATTTGAGGGGCCATGTGCCGGGGATGGGGGCAGTCTCCGAGTCTCCATCACCATCAGCGTGTGCATGCGCTGTTCCGAAGTGCAAACCATCGATTTGCTCGTTTGAATGTCTCATTTGGGTTTTGGAGTATGTGCGCTCATGAGAGAATGTGTTGTTCACAAGCTCTGCAAGGGTCACCCTCACAAGTTCAGCCTTTCAAGCATGATGGGCTGTAAAGTTCTTATACTTTGGTTTTTTCCTCCCTTTAGTTTTGTGTGAGGCCGGCCGGCCATTGAAGCCAGACCACCACATTTTTCTCTCAAGTCCCAATGAACTTTTTTGGCCATGGCCAGACCTCGCTTTTAGGTGGGAAAATAAAATAAAATAGGATACGCCATTTAGTACTTTCTGTTCTTAGTCTGACAACTTTTTGATGGTTGAATGGAATGGTGGATGATAGATGATAGATGGATGGATGGATGGATTATCTCTTTTTTTGGCCCCTTTCAAAATGTAAATCAGGCTGCCCAACAGAATTGGGTTTAATGGTGTATTTTTCATCTGATCGTGTTTTCTTTTACAATCTGATCAAGTGATCCGTAGCATATATAGCAGTGTTTGATTAGAATGCAAAGTCTAGATTCACCATTGCAACCAGTAGCGAGGGATTCAGGACTCGGGGGAGGAGGATCCCATCAATGTCGGTTCTCATGGGGGTCATGACATCAATTGGGTTATTGACCAGGAGTGAAGGGTCATTGTCGTTGAGCCGTGCCTAACCGACCATGGCGACAAGCAAAAGTTTAGGTCCAATACGAAAGGAATTTCCACGAGTAATTGTAATTGTGCAGAGAGAGAGAGATGACTTGTTGTTTGTCTGATCTTTTTCGTCCATTAGAATATTTTCCATAGTATATTTCTCACGTACCCGGATGGCGGATGGCTCATCTGAAAATACTATATATTCAAATAGAAGATAAAGTTTACAAGTTGCTCACTAATTAATTGCTATACGATGAAAAAACAGAAGATCTAAACAAACACAAACAGGAAGAAACGGATGAAGGTCGGTGGTGCCTTTCACTGTGCAACAGTCTGAGCTGAGCAAACCGTGTAACCTCTCTTGAAGCTAGGAGGAGCACGGCACGACTTCTACTTTGCTATATATTATCAGAAAAAACTATGGTCTTTCTGCTGGTACACAAATTTTGGCTCGCTCTGAAGTCTGAACTTGTCAGCTAAGAGGGGTGTATGTTGTATAATGTGGATATTCTGTGAATCGGTTCTGAAACACATCATACCCATTTACGTTGATGATTTGATTAATGTGTGGCATGTTTTGAAATCATCCATACATGGTTCTCTATTCCACAGGATATTATATTATACTTCTATTCACGCAACACTAACCATTCAATTAGAATCATAAATGTGTAGCTAATTAGGTGTTATTTATCAAAATTCATGGGTGGGGTTATTATTAGTCAAAACTCTTTTCATACCATATTTTTCCCGCATCATAGATTTTCCCATATATATATATGTATGTATGCTTTTGCTAACAATACAACCGCACTATGTTATGGAATACTTCATAGCAACGTTTTCAAACCACCATTGACCCGGCGGTCGAACCGTCGATCCATTCAATGGTTTTGACCGTTTTTAATTTTTTTTTATTTTGCTATCAGAACGGGCCGTCCTTTCGAACCGAACAGTTAGACCGTTGACCCGAAAATTGGTGACCAAAACGATTCCATTTCATTTCCGAGTTATTTTTTAAAACATTGCTTCATAGAGTGGTTTAGAGTGATTTGGTTCAGACGACATGGTTTCAACCACACCATGTTAGATATATTCCACTATTTCTTATGGATCATTGATGATTGTTCAGAGAAACCAGAGAATGAACAACATTTGGACCCAAAGGATTTTGTTTTTGGATAATTTACAAACTGCCACCCTGTACAGTTGTGACACAACCCCGCGAATGAACATTGAACAATATGGGTTTGTTACAAAAAAAGGTATCCTAAACAAGCATTTCCTTATGGGCAATTTTTAAATTTTATTAATGTGGGGGGAAGTTGCTAAAACCAAGGTTCAAAGTATCGATACACCTGATACGCCGGTAGGGGCGTATCAGACGTTTCGATACTCATTTTTTTACCTTTTTTTTATTTTTTTTTTTCAAAACTGATTTATAGGAGACGGTCTAGGGCCCCTCCATCTCCTGAACCGGTCAGACTCCCGATACACCCAGTATAGGAATATATCAAAAGGACCCCAAAGCGATACGTAACGATACTTTAAACCTTGACTAAAACTATTACGCAGGTGCAATTTATACGGTATAGTCACATGGTCGGTCTGCTTGGCCTGACCCGATTAGGGAGTCTCGTTGTCATTATTATTATTATTGGGAAAAAGATTCCTTAGTCGGGTCAAGCAGGCAGCTTCTCCACACATGACACAACTTTGCTTTAGCCCTACATAGGGGATCCTTTGGATTGTTCATGTGCTAAACCCATGCAGTCTGCATCAGTCGTATTCTAACTTTGAATTTAAGTTTTGCTTTGTTATTAATAACTTTGAATTTAAATGAGAGCAGCCATCAAAAGAAGTTTCAGCAAAAAGACTTTTCCACCTGTTCTAAATAATCCCTACAGTTAGTCTTGGGTTGAAGATTTGTTAAATTTTAAAAGAACCCAACCTGATGGCCCGTTTAAGATGTGAAGAAGAATCCCAAGTCTCTTGAGCCTCAGCAATGTGGAAGCTTCCTGGTTGCTTATACTCCATCCAAACAATCCAACTAGCATACAAGCTATACAATTTACCAAGTGAAACAATGTCCTTTCTATTTGCACTTTGCACCACATATTCACACTTAATTTGTTTATAACGAAAATGTTACAAGCAAAAGCAGTACAATATCAACCCAGCCACTAATGGTTAGACCTCAAGAATCAAATCAGTTGAGGCAATAGAAAGGAAAGAAATAGATAAAAATGATTTTCCCAAATAAATGATAAGCCCAGTACAAATTTTCTTCTTGAAGTCTGCTAGTTATCATATTTCTTGGGTTGATGCCACTACACCAAACTTTTTGACAAAGAGCCAAGTAATGAGTTTTTTGGCACAGCACTACTCTGCCCATATAGATGCTGTCCTTCCAGATCCGATCGGATATATTAAAGCCATACTCCTTATATGGATCGGCTTCGGTCAGACAATGCCCGTTCCAATAATCTTTACATTCTTGTATTGGGAATATCTTCGTATTTATATGTTTAAGATTGCAAGAGGCTGTTGCCTATTAGCATGGTGTAAGTACGGACTTGCCATGACTGAAGACAATCTTATGTATTATATCATTTTTTTATTTTTAATTTTTATTTATCTGTTTTGTTGTTTATTTTCCTCTTTGTCTTCCTTGTAAGAAACATGCCAACAAAAAAGAAGATTAAAAAAAATGCACTTGGAACAAGAGAAATGACCAAGGAAACACCATCTTATTTTCAAGTCCCTAACCTATTTCAAGTTTTCACTTGGTGAGCCCCACTCCCTTAGGCGATGTTTGGCACCGAGTCGAATTTCCACCAGAGATCGACACTGGAAAACATGCCAATAGAGGCTGAGATCTACGATTTCTTCTCTGCAACAGAGAAACTTGAACAGAAATGATTGTGAAGGACATTCCTTTGGAGGGTCGTTACGAGTGGATTTGCTTAAAGCCATGAGATGAAAACAAGGGAAACAAAACAGGGAAAAAAAAGGCATGGAAGAATGGGATTTGAACCATGGCATCGCAAAGGTCGACGTCGAATCTACCGAAAGGGTTTCTTCGAGTTCTCAAAGAGAGAGAGAGAGAGAGAGAGGGGAAGAATGGGATTTGAGAAAGATTTTTTTTGATGAGATCTCTATCATAGGGTTACTTCAAGTTCTCCATCACCGTTTCTCTTCTTGTTTGATGGCAATAAATAGAATAGGATTCTATTGAGAAATGAGGGTATAATTTATCATTATAAAAAATAGGGTTTTTAGCAGATAAGGGCAACTTTTTGCCCTGAATATCAATAAAAGATAATACTTTTGTAAAATAACCAAAATAAGGTAACTTTTTTTGAAAAATATCAAGGAAGGGCAATGACACTGTTTATCATCTTCCTCTTCCTCTGCCTCGGTGATTGTTTTTAATAGGTGGTTGGACAGTACACCCTGCCAGGTGTGGAGCTAGTGCGTGATAAACCGGTGACAAGCCAGGATGTGACATTGAAGCTAGTGCAATACAAGCCAGGATGCGACGGCGATCAGAGTGACAAGCCAGTGTATCTGCGATACAAGCCAGAATGCCCAGAATTTTCTGTCGCCATTCCTATTCCCCAATTGTTAACGTCGACATTTCCTTTGTCGATTGGCAAGGATGCGACGGCGAAGCTAGTGCGTGATAAACCGGCAACACACCCGAACATTGAAAGAGTGGATGGTGCGGATCTCCGGAATAATTCTAATGTGAGCACTCATCTTGGAGGCGTGGTAGTAGCTATTACAGAGGCTGCCAGATTTGCTCACTAAAATGGGCAGATAAGAGAAGGAAGAGGAATGAAAGGGACAATGGGTTCGCCCGTGTTAGTAGATATTGTTCCTCTTCCTTCTCTTATTTGCGCAAAACATAAAATGGATTCACCAACTTGGATATTAAAGTTTAAGATATGAAAATGGCATTTAGATCTACTTTCAAGACATGACTCCAAACGTTAATTACCTATGAAAAGCAAGTTTCTAGAGATAAGAGGCAGATTATCAAACGCCAGCCACCTTAGACTCTTACACTCGCTCGCTTTCGATGATGAAAATGAAGACACCTTCTTTGAGTATGACAATACCACGAATGCCACCTTTGACATGTGGGTTGGTGTACCAGGATATAGACTCTTACACTCACTTGCTTTCCTCCCACATCCGGCGTCTCTCTGCTTCTCACGATTCCCTCTTTCTCTCTATTAGGAAATGGGGTGACTGTATCTTTGGAGGAGAAGCTCTGAGGCACGTCTGAAGATACTATCTTTAGAACGTTATTTGCCCCCACTCAGTTTCACTGAGTTTGTTGTTGGGTTACAGGCAAATCCGTTCCCAGGATACAACAGAGCCTTGGACGAGAATCTGCAACCATCAAAGTTGAAGAATTTTCGAAGAAACTTTATGTGAGACTGTAGCAGACCGGACTGAGAGAGAGAGAGAGAGAGAAAGAGAAAGTGGATTTCGAAAAAATGTGTGTTTTTGAAGTCTAATTCATGCTCCTTAAATAGTTTATGAAGATGTATGAAGAAAATAAAGGTGCTGGTTCAGAGAAGGCACCTTGAACGGTCACAATAAAAAGTAGTTAATAGTTAATGACTGTTAAATTTGAAATGTGCCTTTTGATCACAATCGATCGAATTGTGACTGTTGATCTCATCAACGTTGATTAATGGTCAGCATCGCACCAAAACCAAAGCTGCCCTTTGCGAGCCACGCTGGTGCGCGCCTCATTGCACAGCACACGCTCAAACCTCCATACTCTCCTTTACTATTTCTAAGGAGTGTAAATCAGCTCCTAGTGTAAATCAACTCCTATTAAAATACTGAAAACAAACTTATAATTTTCCAACGTTAAACAAGTTCAAAACTGGGTTTTGTAAGAGAAAAGCTAATTTTCCAAACAAGTGTACATGTGCAATTTCTCTTGTACTTGACCAATCAAACCCATTGGACTTAATCTCTTATGAGATTAAAATCCAATACTCTCCGCTCTCGAAATTTAGGGATTTTATTCTTCTTCTTCTTCCAACAAACCAATAAAAAGAAAAAAACTCCCCATAGATCGAAGACTGAGAACAGACCACCCCACACGGTGAAGCTGCTCCCAACGCGTGGAGAATTCATGCGGACCACTTGAGAACCACCGATCAAACGCTCGCCTTTTGGGGAGTTATAAATTCCTTTCAAGAAGTGGAAGGCAGAGCCACCCACCGCACCCATGCCAAAAGCGCCGCCAATGTCGTCTATGATACGGTTCGGGCTGGGCTCTCTAGCGGTCTCCGGGGTTCCTTGCTCTATGGTCTACATCCGCCAGAAGGAAGATCCTTGGAACTCAATCTTTGCTGGTGCAGCCACCGCTGGGTTCCTGCAGATGCGCCAAGGTTAGGTAAGGCTTCGAGGTCGGCATTGTATGCTGGTGTATTGCTTGCTTTGATCGAAGGCGCTTTGGATCATGCTTAATAATGTCTTGAGTGTTCCTTAGAATTTTCCTCCAATGATGGAGGAGCCATTGCCGAATATGGATGGTGGGCTTGGCTTTCCTATGGGGCAGTTGCCGAGTGCCCCGGCGACGATAGATCCTTCGACGGAGGGGTCTTCTTCCTCTTGGTTTGGTGGGTTATTCGATGGTGGTAACAAACATGAGAAGGGGTCTAGTAGCGGTGGTGGAAGCAAGACGGAGATTTTGGAGAGTTTTGATACGCCCAGTACGCCGATTCCATCCTTCGAGTACAAGTGAGATGGGTGACGGCCTACGTGGAGCTATAGTTTTTGGCCGGCGATCTTGTTTGCGAATTCTATGCTAAGCATTACATGGAAGATATTGTTGTTGTTTATTTGTTACTATTTTCCTTTCTTTTTTGATTTTTTTGTGGGGTATCTGTCTAGCAGAACACAGTTGGCACGACCTGACCCACAACATTGCCCTTTATGGGCTATATATGGGGGAGAATGACTGATCAGCCCAACTCAGAATTCTGTATAGGGGATGAATCCTAACCGTGAATTGATGCTAAATTTACGAACAGGATGCTGTTTATAGAGGCTACTAGTAGATTATGGGGGCTGTAATTTAAAATTCTGCAGTGAAATGTAGAGTATTTTTTTTTATATATGTGTATAATAATAATTATATAATATATATATATATATATATATTATTTTCAATTCTATTATACCATTTTATTTTATTATGTCATATATATATATATAAACAATATATATGACATACGTAACAGCAATAGTTGCGGATCTCAATTTTCTCCAACCTCTTCAAATCTTGTTTCTTCTTCTTCTTCTTCTTCTTCTTCTCTCTCTCTCTCTCTCTCTCTCTTTTCTCTGTGATCTTTGAGATTGGTCTTATCTCAATTCCTCCCCTCTCTAATCTGCTTTGCATCCTTTATTAAATTGTGAACTGTTGTTTGGCTTGACGATTGGACTATCTGGGTCAACAGTTTTTTGACCAAGTCAATAGTTTTTGGCCCAATAATGGGTTAAGGGTAAAACAAAACCGGTTGCCTGAACGGTTTCGACACTGAACAATTTTACCATTTGGGTCAACAACAGTTTGAAAACAATGAATCCCCTAAGTTGAAGTTGCTACCCAATGACTAAGGGTTTTCCTAACCCCTACTCGAGTTTCCTTCCGGCCAGGGGTAGGAGTGTAAATGTATCGAATTCGATTCGATATCTAACAATATTTAAAATTAATCTTCGAATTTGATTAATTATTCGAATATTCAATTCAATTCGAATTCGACCAATTAATTATTTTAGGTAATCAATAAATATATAAAATAAATATTTTATTTATATAAAGTGTATAAATTATTTATATAATTTAATTATTTTATATATAAATTGTATAAAATATTTAAATATTTTATATATTATATATAAGAATTGGCTATTCAATTCAATTGCATCAAATCTCGAATTCAAAATCAAAATTTATAGTTGATACCCCTAGCTAGGGCGCATCCTAAAGAAATTTCAACCGCACCCCTCTAATCCTTTGGTGAAAAACCTTATGACTTTCACTACATGGACCGATGGATGGAACACATTCAAGATAGCCAAGCCAAAAAATCAAAGAGGAAATTCTTGATCAGTACCCTATACTTTGGCTCAAGTGATAATTTGGTCCCCGGACTTTAAAATGCGACAACCCAGTACCTGAACTTTCAAAATGTGACAATCCAACACTTGTACTTTCAAATTGTGACAATCTAATACCTGTTGTTAACCAGTCCATTAATCAGCTGTTAAGTGACATTTGAAAAATAAAAAATTCCCTTTGAATGTCATCTAATTCTCTTTATCAACCATCCAAACATTGACAAAAAACTGAACGATCCCAAATCATAACCTCATCTATTAAAAAAAGTTGGTGACTGTTTAGAAGAATCTAGAAATTGGGACTGCTCATTTTATTGTCAATGTTTGGATTGTTGATAAAGAGAATTAGATGGCATTCTTACGGCATTTTTGACTTTTCAAATGTTACTTAGCAGTTGATTAGTGGACTGGTTAACGATAGGTACTAGATTGTCACATTTTGAAAGTTATGGTACCGGATTGTCACATTTTTAAAGTTCAGATATTGAATTGTTGCATTATAAAGTTTAGGGACCAAATTGTCACTCGAGCCAAGGTATAGGGTACTGATCAAGAATTTAACCAAAATCAAACCTGTAACAGAAAAAGACCAAACTCACAATGAGACTAGATCTGCTCCTCACAAGCAAGTCCCATTGTACATTGGGAACATCTCTTGTACTTATATGTTATTATTTACGGGAGATGTTTCCAACGGTGGGATGTGCCTATGAGGTCGTTGTGAGGCGCCCTTTGTGAGGAGTATATCCCACCTCTAGATGAGACCGAATCTGCTCCTCACATAGGGTACCACACATGCACATCCTACCATGCATTGGAAACATCTCCCCTACTTGTAAGTTATTTTTCATGGGAAATGTTCCCAATGCACGGTGGATGTGCATACGAGACGCCCAAGTGTGAGGAACAAATCTCGTTCCCTTTTGTGACCAGCTGTTCTCCTCACATAAGGCGCCTCACACACATATCCTACCATACATTGGGAACTTCTCCCCTACTTATAAGTTTTTTTTCACGGGAGACATTTCCAATGCACCGTGGATGTGCATGTGAGGCGCCCAAGTGGGTGGGAGGAGTAGATCCCGTTCCCTTTTGAGATCGGATCTCCTCAAATAGGGCGCCTCACACGCACATCCTACCATCATCGGCAACATTTCCCCTATGTGTAAGTTAATTTTCACGGGAGATGTTACCAATGCACGATGAATGTACTCACACGCACTTCATAGCATGCAAAAACGATGACACCTTCTTTGAGTATGAGGTTATTCCCTACTTGAAATATTTAATGATCAAAATGCCTTGCATGACCGGGATTGGTTAGGTTTCCTTAAAGTAGGACACATTAGTCATTTTGTAAAAGACTTATTCTCCAAGAAAATAAAAGAAGAAAATTCACCGCCAAAACCTAGGGTTCCTTCTTTTTCCTCCCGCGTCTGGCGTCTCTCTGCTTCTCGCGATTCCATCTTTCTCTCCACTCTCGAAATTTAGGGTTTCTGTTCTTCTTCTTCCAACAAACCCCCAAAAAAAAAAAGAAAAAAACTCCCCATGGGAACCCCGGAGACCTCTAGAGAGCCCTGTCCGGACCGTATCCTAGACGACATCGGCGGCGCTTTTGGCATGGGTGCGGTGGGTGGCTCCGCCTTCCACTTCTTGAAAGGAATCTATAACTCCCCAAAAGGCGAGCGCTTGATCGGTGGTTCTCAAGCGGTCCGCATGAATGCTCCACGCGTTGGCGGCAGCTTCGCCGTCTGGGGTGGTCTGTTCTCAGTCTTCGACTGCTCTATGGTCTACATCCGCCAGAAGGAAGATCCTTGGAACTCGATCTTTGCTGGTGCCGCCACCGGTGGGTTCCTCCAGATGCGCCAAGGTTTGGGTGCGGCTTCGAGGTCGGCACTGTTTGGTGGTGTATTGCTTGCTTTGATCGAAGGCGCTGGAATCATGCTTAATAAGGTCTTGAGTGTTCCTCAGAATTTTCCTCCAATGATGGAGGAGCCACTGCCGAATATGGCTGGTGGGCCTGGCTTTCCTATGGGGCAGTTGCCGAGTGCCCCGGCGACGATAGAGCCTTCGACGGAGGGGTCTTCTTCTTCTTGGATTGGTGGGTTATTCGGTGGTGGTAACAAACAGGAGAAGGGGGCTAGTAGCGGTGGTGGAAGCAAGACGGAGATTTTGGAGAGTTTTGATACGCCCAGTACGCCGATTCCATCCTTTGAGTACAAGTGAGATGGGTGACGGCCTACGTGGATTATTTTAGTGGTAAGGGAGAGATTATATATTATTTATTTTGAAGCTATAGTTTTTGGCCGGCGTTCTTGTTTGCGAATTCTATGCTAAGTATTATGTGGAAGATATTGCTGTTGTTTATTTGTTGCTATTTCCTTTTTTTTTTATTTTTTTGGGGGTAGCAGTCTAGCAGAAGATACTTTTTTTTCTTATTTAGTTTTGCTCTGAATTGATTGCCGATGAAAGATAAGACGACTAAGTATTAAAGAAGGTTTGAACATGGGGGTAAAGGATGTTTTGGAAAATTTTGCAACATGCAGATTATGAGGGCATATGCAAAAATCAAAATACAAAAAATATATTGTCTTTGATGTCTATGCACTCTGGTAATTTGATGGCATAGTCATTGGTGGTATGCTTTTATTCTGCGTGCACATGCAGTAACAAAAAAGACCAAGTTGGCTTAGTTCAGTATGATTAGTGTAGATCAAATTGGTTTTGTTCTCTTGACATAGTAAATTACACTGGTTTTGGACTATGTCAGGCTTAGAAATTCTAAGGTAATCTGGAGTGTGATAAAAAATACGGTGTGATGAATTGAAGGTAGACTTAGACTATTTTGCAACCTGGGTGGAATTTTTAAAAAAATTAAGGTTGGTGGAAGAAATAGGATGTATGGGATCAAGAATTAATGCCCTGGGTTTAGTGAGTTTAAGGTATAGAAGCATAGAAATTTGCATACCAAGCATTGACTTAACTTGTATGACATAGGATTCAAGCACCAAGTTGAGTGTTTGTATGTAAAATGCTTGCAATTTGCACCCTAGGTCTGTTGTTAGATCCTAGGACCTAATTCTGAACAGGAAGAATTGTACTAGGCCTGATAACAAGATTGTATTCTAGATGGGTGGGTGAAGTGTTCACAAGGCAAAGAGTTATCAAACTACAATAATAGGGATAATGGGCTTGTTTTCCCCAAGTGTTCACATTGATGGGAAGGTTTTGCTTTTTTGAATAAAATGATATCTCCATGTAATAGGGATGCAGGAATGGTCGTTAATTGTTAAACCGGCTTAAGGAGGGGAGATGATGTTCTCATTGGTCATTTGGACCTTCAAACTGAATTGTGAGTACTCGAAGGAAGTAACAAGTTTACAAGACTGTGATTTGTAGTTTCTGTATTAGAAAAGCATAGCTAGTTAATAGAAGAGACTTAAAGTGATTTTGTTTTTTGTTGGTGCTTCCTTACTTTGGAAAAGGAGAAGCACTAGTGGGGCAATTATAACAAGATGTAAAACATTAATGCATTTGAGGGGTTTTTATCTTTCCGTGATCGCTTTCAAGGAATTCTGTTGTAGACTACATCAGAGCATAATTATCAATAGAACTAGCAAAGTTTGTTTTATTTTATGTTTCTTGAGGAAAAAAGGGCAGTTCAGTGTATGAGGCTCCTGCCAATGTGGGGTTTGGGGAGGAACCGATGTACGCATCCTTACCTCTATTTATACAGAGAGGCTGTTTCGAAGATTTGAACCCTGGTCACCCTGGTTGCAGTGGAGCAACCCAACCATTTCTTGAGAAAGTAACTCGTATTTTACTAGATGCAAAAATGAGTGTTAATCATGAGGGTAATGTACCAAATGCGTGAAATATGAATAAATAATCCATTCCTTGGGCAAAGAGATGTATTTGTACCCAAGAAATAACACCTAACCTCAGTTTTGTTTAGAGCTTCAGTTGTTGAATTCAGCACACTTGGAACTCATTGTATCTGTGCTAATCTACCAATCGTTGTTTCTCTTTATTTCTTTTAAGAAGTTAGCCAGTCTGCATGGGCCGCTTCCCACATAGACTCCACCTAATGGTGTTAGCTGAACCAGTTGCTAGCTACGGAGGGGCAAAGCTGCTTTGTTATTTGGGTATCCAGGAGGGAATCAGAGTTTAACGTTTCCCCGAACATTTAGTAGCATACATAATATATCTGTTATTTAGAAATGATCATTTTGCTTGCTTAAATTGTTCAAACATATATTTTAGCTGCAAGAGTTTCCCATTTATGTGGGGCTTGGGTTGTTATTTCTCTATTTCTGATATATAAAATTGACTTGTTACTATGGAATTTTGCTTTGTACAAATAGGTTGTGATATAAAGTTACAATGTGTATAATCTGCAAGATGAATGGTGAGTTTCCGCTCACCTCGGAAACCTCTTCGAGGGAGGCTTGACCTCCTGAAACAGAAGATGGAGAGAAAAGAGAGAAGGGAGGGAAGGAAGAAACTGGAATCAKGGAGAGGRAAATTWAGGGAGAATCATTCATTKCTTTCATTATGTGATGATGGCCTTATATAGCTGGCCTACAGGTGTAATATCAGAGGGAATATCCTCTGATTTTGGAATAACCAACTCTGGCAGATAACATGGCTGGCCTACAGGTGCAACAAACTTTGATTGTAACTAATTCTGGGGCTCTGCCGCCTGGCTCCCATGTCTTCTTGTGAATGGCTGATAGGTGGTGGCCTGCTCCACTCCCCTAGTGGGTTCTGGATGGGGTGTTTGGGTCTCAACAATGAATGTGCGTATAAGATTTAAACCAATGTTATACATGAATCTTGCATGCACAACTTCACAGAATGTTTTAAGCACTAAGGTGTGATGTGAGGCGTTCCACTCCTATTACCTAGAGGCGTGAGAGGTGTAGTTCAGAATATATGAGGCATAAGCCTTCAGAAATCAGAACACAAGGTGTAAGCCTCCCTAAGAGGAGGGAGATGAGGAGGAAGGAGGGGGAGGAAGAAGAAGAGGAAGGAGGATCTCATTTTTCTTTATTTTTATTAAAAATCTTTTATATTAAGAATGAAGATGCATAGCTGAAAGGGGGGGGGTCTTGCTGAAGCAGAGGCAAGTGAGTGAGCCAAAATGGGAATGCAATACACCACAGTTCATACGGGTCTTGTGGATCCACTATCCAGAAGTTCTAGACTCATTTTGGCTACAGCAAGGTTCAAAGTATTAATACGTATTGGCCCTCATTGATACTTTGTGCCGGTGGCTTCCCAATATGCCCCTGCAGGGGTTGAATTGGGTCAGCCACTGGTTCAGAGGGTAGCTGGGCCTTAAACCGGCCCCTTTGAACCGATTTAAAAAAAAAGCACCGACACTGGCCGACTGGCCGATACTTTGAACCTTGGTTTACAGTTTACCATGCCTTCTTTCTTTGTTCTGTAACTGTAATAATAATAATTCCATTTTGGCTAAATAAATAGTTGAATCACCTGTTATCTAATATTGTTTTTTAATTCTCACCCTTCTGCAGGAGGAACTGATTGATTTTTTATGAAGCCGTTGTCTTGGTTGCTCAGCTACAAATTGATTTGTTTGGTGGTGAGCTGCAGATGTTTTAATTGGTTTTGGCAACGTGATCTGCAAGCATTTTAACAGTTCACTTCAAGTTTACATAAATCCGAAGATTTTGTATTGGAAAAATATGGTTCTTATGGACCACGACACGATCATGATGTATGCATGGAATGCTCTGATGGTATTTGGGGTGATTTCTTGCCTCATCTTTTATTTATTTTATTTTTCAAAAAGAATGGCGGGAGTGTTTCAAACTTTTTATGGGTTACTGAATATTGGATAGTATAGAGGGAGGCAGGATTGAGTCCCTCAATTCTTCATTTCTTTTTCCCTGTCATAATCTTAATAGTAATACTTACACGAGGCCAAGTCTTTTAATTCAAAAGGCGGGTGGGGACGGAGTTATTTGTAATATCAGGCATGGAAAATCGTGTACAAGGTGGTAAACTTGAGAGAGCAGCATCCCGGTATCGTTCGTGTGTACTTGAATATCGCATATATAACATCTCTCTTTTGAGTTTTTGATCCAAATTCAATTCCAATTCCTTTCTCTTATATCCGTGGCTGGGTTAGGTCTTACGAGGAAAACCTTACATGTATGAATACAAGGTCAAACCTGTTGTCTCTGCAAGTCACAGTTGGAGACCTTTCAAGTTCTACGCCCGTTTTTTTTTTTTTCTCATGCACTTTCTCAAGAGTTGTTTGGTGTAGTGCACAAAGTGGCATTAACCCATATGCCCTACGCTGGTAGGGGCGTATTGGGTGAATTGAGACTTTTTTTTTATATTTTTTTCGCAACCACTTCAGGGGGTCGGTTTAGGGTTTTTTCACCTTCTGAATCGGTCAGACTCTCGATACACCCACTGTAGGGATGTATCGGAGGGGTCTTAGAATGTTATGTATCAACTGATATGGATCAATACGTATCGATACTTTGAACCTTCAGTTTTTATAAATTCTTTGAACTCACATTTCGTGCCTTGTATGGACACGGCACATGCAGCGATCGCTGCTACGCCTACGGCCACTGTTATTCCAATAGACGTAGCGTAGATGAGCAACAGACAAAAAATATTATTGAAAAAAATTGGATTGGATTTCAATATTTCATCGGTCACTGTTGTGACTTGTGTTGTCGGAGTTAAGATATTATCGGGAGCAAGTGTGGTGTATGTTGATTGTTGATGTTGTTACCTACACTAATCTATTTTACTTCACACTCCTCCCTTCTCTTAAAACTCTAAATGCGCTCGCTGCTACGCCTACGGTCCCTTTTGCAAGGCAGGCGGCCCAGGCCATCAACAATCACTCCCTTTCTCGACCTCGACTATCTTTGCTGCTTCATGGCCACCACCACCGGCACCACCGCTGAACCAATGAGCCCCTCCAACACTCGAGTAGGTTGGATCGGAACTGGGGTGATGGGTCAATCCATGTGCGCTCATCTCATCAGGGCCGGCTTCTCCCTCACCGTCTACAACCGCACTCAATCCAAAGCCCTACCCCTCCTTGATATGGGTGCCCAATATGCTCCTTCCCCTCTTGCCGTCGCTTCCTCCTCTGACGTCGTCTTCACCATCGTCGGTTACCCATCCGACGTCAAATCCGTCCTCCTCGGCTCCTCCGGTGCCCTCCATGGCCTCCGCCCCGGCGGCGTCCTTGTTGACATGACCACTAGTGATCCCTCCCTCGCTGTCGAGATCTCCACCGCCGCCGCCTCCAAGGGCTGTGCCTCCGTCGATGCTCCAGTCTCCGGTGGCGACCGCGGCGCTAAATCGGGAACCCTAGCGATCTTCGCCGGGGGTGATGAATCGGTGGTCCGGCGTCTCTCGCCCTTGTTTAATTGCTTAGGCAAGGTGAATTACATGGGCGGGCCCGGGAAAGGGCAATTCGCGAAGCTTGCCAACCAGATAACAATCGCTTCAACGATGGTCGGGTTGGTAGAGGGAATGGTCTATGCCCACAAGGCAGGGCTAGATGTGGAGTTGTACTTGAATGCCATTTCGACTGGAGCGGCCGGATCAAAATCCTTGGATTTATACGGCAGTAGGATACTGAAGAGGGATTTTGAAGCTGGCTTCTTCGTGAACCATTTTGTGAAGGATTTGGGGATCTGTTTGAGGGAGTGTCAAAACATGGGTCTTGCTTTGCCTGGCTTGGCTCTTTCTCAGCAGCTCTATCTTTCGCTCAAGGCTCACGGAGAGGGGAATTTGGGCGTCCAATCACTTATCTTGATTCTCGAGCGTCTTAACAACATTTCACTAGAGCTTGCAACTTCTTTACCACGTTCGACTTCTTAGAATCAGGTATTTCTTAGCTATTTATGTTTCTTCTTCTCTCCTATCTAATGGATTCTTCTCTGTGCTGGTGGTGAGGTTTGAAATTAATTATAGTTTCTTTTGGGTTTTGCTTGCTTTATGGCTTCTTCAGTTCATCAATCAACATTTTATACTGGAAACAATATGATAATGATGTTTAGAGTACTCAATTCGTTGTTTGTTTGAAAGAGTCCATCTCCACCTGCGTCTATATCTGTAACTCTCTTTGGTGTGAATTCCTGTTGGGACTGTCTCTGTAAGTTTTGCCAATCAGATGTATGAAGTACATCTATACGTATTTTTGTAAATAAATCAATTAAGCAAAGTCGTTGAGATAGGAGCATTTGAATAAGAAATCAGGCATATTTGCAAGCTCCAGTTTCACCTGGAATCAGCTGAAAATGTAGTGATTCTCTTTGTGAACTAATCGATACTTATGGCATGAGTAGCACTTTGCTTCTCAATTTCTTTTTGTTTCCTATAACTCTTGTATTAACAGGTTCCTTTACATACTGTTAATATGATCTAAAAACAAAACCAAGCTTCTTTACATGCTGAATTGCTTACAAAGAAAGGGAGAAGATGCCTTACAAGTTCTGTTACATACTATCAATATGATCAGAAAACAAAATCGCGTAACTTCAGGCCATCCATGGTGCACCCTGCCTTGTTCCCCATTCCTTAATCCCCTGTAGTCTGTAATGCCAAAAAAAAGAAAAAGCTTCTTTACATTTAGAGTTATATCCAGTCCAAAAACTTATCAAAATCAAATTTCACGAGGACCATTATTTGGTTTCCACAATCTCATGACAAGTAGTCAAAAGTAGTCAAGGTGATTCTCGGACTTGTCACTCAAATTACAGGCTTAAACAGGCTAGTTGCTAATTGTATGAGTTAGCAGAGATCTTGTTGCACGGCCTATGAAGTTTATATAGTGTCTCTCCATATAGCTGATTGAACTCACAGAGTTCAGCAATGAAATGGTGTATCAGACCACTTCAACTATGCCATATGTATGAATTGTGTTTACCGAGTAATATGCATTTGATCGGTCACTGTATCGCTCACTGTACATCACAAGTACTGGGTAGCCACTAGTTTCTTGAAATGTATGCTATTAATAAGATACATATTAATGCATGGGTACTTCTACTGGGGTTCAGCAGGAACTGCGCTATGATTGGTTATCGGAGATGGGAGGGAAGTTTCAATATTTCTTACAATGCAATAATCACATTTATCAGAAAAGAAAAGGGGGTAGCCAGATGGAGAATGAGATTGTCAATTCACTTGAACATTCATAATAATACTTATTGATGTCCTTACTGATCAATTATCATGACAATAACTCAGAACATTCAGTGGAACCTGGGTTGTATAATTTTCCTGTTCAGATGCCATGCTTCCGGTCATATTTTTTTTTTGGATCACACAGCCTTAGTGACAAAAGTGCACAGAAAACAGAAACCTGTTTGATGAAGAAGAATGGACAGTCCTAAAGATAGCATTTGAAGGCAATTGGAGACAAGCCAGAGAGAGAGAGTCCATTGATCCATTCATATTCTTTTTAGATCCATCTTCTCTCTGCTCAAAGCTTTGGTAGATAATTCCTTCACTATTGAGTTAGAACGTGCAGAGGATTGCCATTGCATGAGGTGTTTATTATTATTAGTAGCCCCCAAGTTTATTGAGTAAGCAGTTTTACTTTCAGTCTTTCACATTAAGAAATGGTGTGCCGTCCACATGGATCTGTTTCCGATCTAGCTAATATGTTAATAAATAGAATCGTATTGCTGAAAACCAGTGTTCTCGAACCGTCCAGGTTATTCTGACTGTTTGGCCTGAGAACTGTCTAGGCAACAGGTTCCATTTTACCTTAAACCTCGTCCTTAGTAAAAAACTGTTGAATTGGTCAGTGATCCACTGACCTGGGTGGTTGAACCACTAATATACTTGACCCGTTTTACGGTTCTGGTTCGAGATCGGTTTTTAAAACCATGCTGAAAAGCCCTTGGCAAACAAAATGAAAATTTTCCCATATTAATGATCTTCAGATCAGTGTGGGGTGGGAACTAGAAGTTTTTACCCGGGTTGGAAGTCGAAGGATCCATTGGTCTTGAGCAGATCTCGAAGTCTTGTAAATGTGAATGTGAAGGGCACCGAATTTCTTAATCGATAGGCTTCAAGTTTCTAAGAATATGATTTCTTATTTTTTCAGGCAGAGTGTTGGATGAAATAGTTACTTTTAGCTTACTAATTTATTCTACACAAGGCAAGTATAAGTTAACTCTTGGCCTCTTGCTATTGTTGTACATACTTGTCCTCCAAGATTATGATTTTTAACATCCTCTAATCTCCAATAACCCAACGATAGCAAATGGGTTTTAGTCAACTAACCAAGTAAAGTCGTAACAATATTATATGCCCAAAATCCAAATGATGCATAAACCTAATTCTAGATTGTTTGAGTAGAATACATCTAACAGGGATGACTGGATTGTGTACCGGCAAGCATCTATTCATTTGTGAATCACGTCTTCGCATGGCTGATTGCGTAAATGCCTTTAAAGTAGAATATGTGAATGCAATATTCTTATTCATTCTACTTAATACCTGTATTGTTTGTCGGGTTTGAATGCACATTATTTAGAAGGCAAAGGGATAGCATTTTAGAATCTGGATTCAGCCTGCAGTTTCTTTCTATACTACTATGTCTCGACTGAACCAGTTTCGACTTTCGACTGCAGTTTCTACACTATTTCAATTTCTCTCCTTCCATGAAAGCTCTCCACTGAAGGAGCGAAAATAAGCTGAAAGCTGAAACTCTTTGTCAACGAATGAAGGATAAACAAGGAAAGGATATACAAGGATGGAGCCAGCTCCATGCCCATGTGTATCCGGATCCTAAAACAACTACTGCCAAAAGGGTTACGTTTAGGCCGGCTTGATGTTAAACAATGACCCTTTATATATATGCAAATCTTCTGGTGCTTGACTGCTGG